CCAAGCTTCCAGAGCCAAGAAATCGTGGTAGACTCAATCCCTCTGGAAGTACCTCTAGTAACCGATGAAAGACTTCTCACACTCGCAGCAGCCGCCCTCTACTCTACTAGGGACGTCTCTAGCAAAAACTTGGGCTCTGTATCTGCTAGAACGGGTGACACATGTCCTGGACATCCTAGTTTATCTAAACACAGGTTGAGACAGAAATAAGAAAAAATAGGAGAGAGAAAGATTAAGTGTAGGAAGAAGAAATGAGGAGAAAAGCGTTGAAGTTGAGCTCTCCTACGATCCAGGTGCTGGCTCGGCGCTGTGTCCAGTTAAACTGAGCGCGACAGGGTTCAGCTAAGCCGAGAAGAGGGCAGCGAGCGACCCGCAGTCAGCATCTTGTAGAGAAGAAGGAGCGCTCCCAGCCGCGGGAAGATCAGCATACTGGCGGCCCCAAGGGCCCCACAGGCGCAGCACTGATCTGGCCACTTGACTAGACGCTTGCTCCAGCGCTCGCAGGCCTAGGGCTCATTACACGCGTTGCGAGGAGACCTGAAAGCAAGGCGGGGACGCACAATCTATCTTCAGAGCTTTGGGTCGTGAGCACACGCGTGGAGCATGGCTGTGGCATGGGCGTGTGGGCCCCTCTCCTAGATCTCCACTAGGTGCGGACGCTCCTCTGCCCCGCCCTTTTGTGCGCCCTCACTACTAGAAAAACAGTTTTCCCCAGTGTCGCGTGGGAGGTCGCCCCAGCCCAGCTCAGCGCTCGAAGAGACCAGATACTGATCGGGAATCGCTGGGTGCAGGGAGAAGCAGTACACGCGCTCCACTCCTGTGTTCGTGCCCTAGCGCACCTGACCCGACCTAGAGGCGACTGCAGCCTGTTGCGCCCTTCGCCCTGAGGGTGGGGGGCGCGGGGGTGTAAAACAGCTGAGAAAGACGCAGGGAGCAGCTGGGGAGGAAAGGGAGGGACACGGAGGAAACAAAGTTCACCCAAGTGAATGCGTCCTAAGGGCTCCAGGGCTCTCTCCGCAAAGTCTACGACTGCAAGCCGCAAAGTCAAACTATGTCTCCAAAACGCAGTGGGCAGAGCAGGAGGGCTTGTGTCTCCACTTTCGCCGCAGGGCGGATCGTGGACACAAGTCCTCGCCAGTAATTCCGGAGCCTCGAAATCAGACTGTGGTGGGAGGAGGGGTTGGGGGGGTGACTAATAAGAAGGCGTGGAGGTGGGGGTGGGGAGTACGCGGCAAGAACCCTGCTTTCCGGAGTTCTCCAGCCACTGTCTGCAGTGCCCAGAGCGCACGTCGCGGCTAGGGACCAAAATTGCGGCTCTCTTCGAGCGCCCCCAGCGTGGGGTGGGGCCCTGCTTTCCCGCGCCAGGACCGCTCCACCAGGCGCCCTCCGACGGAAGCTGGACTTTTCCTAAGGAAAGGCAAAGTCAAAGTCGGAGGAAAGATCTTTCTTGCGGCCCCAGCTGTCGCCCCTAATGGTCTCAGGGAACACACTAAAGGAAAGTGACTTTAAATGACAGTCTTGCCATCCTAAATAGTTATGTGCAATATTTTGGTTTCTAGCAAAATTTAAAAGTAAAATGGGGATTTCCATATGTTTATTTTATTATTAAAAACGAATTACTAAAAAGTGATGACCTATTTGGAATTCGTATCTTGCTTTACCAGCAAAGTCAGCCAGTATCGACTGAACACAATAAATGCAGGGGTGCGAAACGTGATTGCTCGGGTTCTGTCGGATGCACCAATCTAAGCAGAACCTTTCCCGAAGACTTGGAATTGGGTGCGCTTTTTTTTTAAGTCTTGGCTGAGCCCTATGGGGAAGAAGGGTTAACTGGGCGTCGGCTGAGACCCCAAACCCTCTTCCTCCTCCATCAGACTCCGAAATTGAGTCAGTCCCGACCCGTAGTTGCCTGGGAAGCTTGGAATCCTGAGAAATTCCGGGGTGCGCCCACGATGCAAGCGTTCCTATTCTGACAGCGGGGACAAGTGGGGAGGGGACCTTACAACCTCCTTTGGAGAAGAATGTATGAGAAACTCACTCCCAGACCTCTATTCAATAGTCAAAATGGTACTGAAAAAAACTTTAAAAATCTCCAAGAATAGATACTCTCCTTTTCCGTTCCACCTTGAGGGAACCTGTCTCCATTTTTGACCTCGATTTGACAGCGTCAGGACTTGAGACAAGCGCCTCTTCCACAGAGAGAGGCGAGGCCCAGACGGGGAGCCCCCCAGCCTTTACTCTCGGCAGCCACCTCTGCGCTGCCACGCGGCGGATACAAAAGGAAACGGACGAGCGTACAAAGCGAGGCGGGGAGCTGGTGGCTCGAAGATGCGCAACACGCGCGATGCCTAGAAGTGCTCTGGTGTCACTCTCCTGTATAGGACCTGGCGAGATGGAAATGTATCCTGTACTGGAAGACTCTATGATCAAAATATTGCAATGAAATTAAACTTTTCCCTCACAGACCTGTTTGTATCTTGGAAACATTTCTGCAATGCCGACGCCTAGGTTTAAAATACAATTAGATAATTTGATATTCTCGTTGCCGCACTGACACCGAGAAAGCCAAGAGATTCTCAAGGCAAAGTGAAATTGAACCTTCAAATGACATTCTTGAGTTTGCAAGAATATCTATATCTCCTTGTTGTGCTCCTTGCATGCAGAGAACCAGTGGCCCGTAAGACTTATGACCGGTATTTTTTAGGGGAGGAGGCACCTAAACTATCTAAGAATGGAGTCCAGTGCCAGAAAGAAATACACAAGATAAGGTCGTTGGGTGCCGCTGTCACTGCAGGGCACCATGGGCTCCCTGGGCCGTACATATCTCTCTTGTGACAATCAGTACCCCAAATACTCTCTCTCTCTCTCTCTCTCTTTCTCTCTCTCTCTCTCTCATCCACCCATCCACAGCGGAAGGCCAGCAGGGCACCCAGAGAAATTGTGACCGTCCCCTGTACGGCAGAAAGGCAGACCTCAGGAAGGAGCAGGCGACACCGCTGCTCACTGCTCACTCGAGGTTTGAATTAAGGGCATCTATCCATAAACTCAAAATGGGGCTAGATAGCAAAGTCTTAAAATTAGACCTTCCCTCAGAGCTGAGAACTGTATGGTCATGTCTTCGGAACAATGATCATGTATTTTCCATTGCTGGAACGATGCACAATAACTGAAATGCTTAAGAGGACGTGGGTAGACGAGGGCGGTATGAAGCCCTCATTATAAAGTTTAATCTCTTTCTGAAGAAGGTCATGCAACGTCTGGCTTTTGGCAATGCAGCGTGTCTGTTGCTTCTTCTCACTTTACTCCTAGAAACATTAGGACAAGAAAAGTCCTCAGCTGCATATGGAAAGATGCAGGGGCAATACATGCGACGCTCTTTACCCGAGCAACTCGGTGCGCGGCCGCGAGTTTGACAGCGACTCTGTGAAACAGAAAAGGCACTAACCAATGTGCAATTTAGGAATCACAACGGAATGTTCGGCGAGCCGGTGTAGTCGGCACGCGGACCTGGTGGAGCGTCCTCCCTGCCTCCTCTGACCCCAAATTCCCGGGAGGCGCACTACCCGACTCCCCCTTGGCCTTGGGTGATGCGCCGACGCTTCCTTAAGGGAGAACCAGTCACAGAGTTCGTTTCTGGGTTCAACTCTGGGGGATTGTGTGACGGAATGTCATTGTCTCGGGGCTGCAGACACCTGGGAGACGAGTGCTGAAGGCTCTGCAGATTCCCAGCATTTCTAAAGAGCCTTTCTCTTTCTCTTTACTTACTGCTTTGTAGCTTTACTTGGGCATAAGATGTGAAAATAAAATGATATGGCTAGTCTCATCTTTTCAAGAAAGTCAAGAAATTGAACATTTCGTTATTATTTAATCTCTTATGTGGCCACCCTATTTGTCCCTCAGTTACCCGGAGAAAAACGCATCTTGTAAAAATAACCTTATATTACCACCGAGACCTGCATTCTCTCTTTTTGCTGACCCGCAAAACGTGTCTTTTAAAAAGAGGAGAAACAAGCGAAAGAAAACCTGAGCGCTCTCGTGGCAATTTACAGTTCTAACTCTGCATTTTAAAAACAATAACACTCTTTGTAAATTTCAGTGACCCCTCCCCCAAGGCCATCAGTAATTCACCAGGGTCAGCGAAGGAGACCATCCCCACCTTACCCTCACTATGAATTCACAGCTGCCCTAAGGCGAAACTCGTTGGCCCTCATCTGCCCAAGGACAAGGGTTCTGAGCGGAAGCAGATTCTACAGCATCAGTTTCTTTTTTGAAAGTTGGTGCTGGGTGGAATCCGAGAGGCCTGGTTACAACTTGCTTATACTAGGCCCAGGATCCAACACACAGATATTTTATCATGTACCTGAGAAAGTTATAAGGGATAAATTCTGTTCTAAAACTACAAATTGCACCTCATCACCATCCACTGAATGAGGAAAATAAAGAGTTGTAAGAAATACCTCTACTGAGTTCCGCTCTGTGCCAAAGTGACCCAAGGCCCAAAGGGCCTGAACTGCTTAGCCCTTTCTCCATGACCCAACAATTGTAAATGGAGAAATTGGAAAATTGGAGATTACGTACAACACTCCTCAAACCCGTGTTGACTTCTTGAGTCTTAAAAAGATACTTCCTAATCACTGTGCAAGACAAGTACTTGACAAGACTCTGACCTTGTTCAAGTTCAAAAGCTCTTGGGTCTCCAGAACATCTCTCCTGAAAGCTACACTTACTTGCAAAGTTAACAGAAGAGTTGAGATATTCTAAATTGACTCTAAAAATATTGGTTGCCAGACTGGAAAATTCTAGTTAAGAAAAAATATTTTACTGAATTATCTGGATGACTATTTTGGTTCACCTGATTTCTTTTGCCAGAATAGATTTAGGCTGTCAGTTTGAAATTCAGATACTGAATAAGTGACCTATCCCAAATTAATCTCCAACTGTGTAGGTTATGTTGCCATTCAGTCATTATTTTTTCCTGACCCAGAAAGAAGACAAAATTCTGTTCATTTACATGGTTTATTGTTGTAAACATTAAAATTGTCTTTCTCAAAGAAAGAATTTATCAGAAAAAAAATCAGCGTCTCTAACTGTCATACACCATAGAAAAAAAGGCAGTGACTCATATCATGTGCCATACTAGAAATATACAAAGAAAAATACTACAGAATATGGCAATATTAAAATTCTTACTCAAACAAAATAATAAATTAACTGACAATTTTAGACATAAAAAAATTCAAAGTGCTCAGTAATTTCCAGGGAGTTATGTATATTATAAGCACTCTGGAAACAGTCAAAAGCTGCTGCATGCAAGTTTTGTTTAGCTTTAGACAACAAAATAATCAAGATATAAACTTTCTTTTTATCAACATCAACGGTACATACAACACTTACAAACAAGGAATGTTGGACGGTGTTACAAACACTATGTGTCCCTTTTGTCAGGATTTTCTGATGTGTAATACTTGTGCCCACCTATTTTACAATTGAGAAAATGTTTAAGCTCAGATAACTACCAATCTTTATAAAATCTAACAGACTACATAGTGTCTGAAATACTATTTATATAATATAGACATTACTGAAGTAGCAAGTGCCTATAACATTTTCAACCTAGAATCAACATGCTTGTCCCTTTTTATGTATTTATTTATTTTTTTTGCAAACACACTTATCTTTTAGAATTTGTAATATTTATTCATAAATAGGCACAAAATAATTTAAAAAGCCAAACTGCATTGGGTAAATTTACAAGCCTTTGCCTTCTTCAACTCATGCCACCCACGCAACATTTAGTTTTACTATATATTACAGCTTTCTTTACAGCAGAAAACTTTGAAGTATTGTTAAAGGGCAATACTTGTGGGTCCCCTTAAGGTGTGTGTGTGTGTGTGTGTGTGTGTGTGTGTGTGTGTGTGTGTGTGTTACATTTGTCTGAACTGCAACAACCAAGCATGGCCAAACATTTCCCATTATACAGTATATCAACCTTTCTTCTGAACAATAAACTGATTTTTAAACTGATAATAAAAAGTTTATACCACTGTATTGTGTGTAGTCCATGTTCTAAATCCAGGATGCCCCGGAGCCAAAATGCCCTTTCAGGTTCTGCCTGCAGGTTAGGAAATAGCAACAGTTTTTGTTTGTTTGTTTTCTTTAGGGATCAAGGGGCTGGGGGGAGGGTTACAGAAATGAGGGGCAGCTTGAGCTGAGACAGCTCACAGGGCTATCTCTGCCCATGTGACTTGCCCCCTCTGGACAGTTTCCGTTATCTTTCCAGTTCCTTTGAAGTGCTTGGGAGGAGGTCTTAGAAAGGTAAAGTGTCCAGGAAAAGTTTGTCAATTATTGCTGGCGGTGGCACCAAGTCTTCCAATTTCAGGTAGAAAATGCGCTGTAGCCCCTGTGTGCAAAGGGTACGAAGTTCTGGGAGCTTCCCCAACAGTTTGGACAAATAATTGGGGCGGTTCAACCCCCCATTGTTGAAAGTCACATGGTCTTTGAGACAATTTACAATCTTGTTTTGCAGTTCTTCCACTCTCTTGGGTTCCTTGAGCCCGTGTCTCTCTAAAGAAAATATAATCAGAAACAAAAGAAGAATGTACAAGACAGTTAGCTAGTTGGCAAAACCAAGGAGAATCTGTGACAAGGGCAAGCCAGGACAAATCCTGCTAGGCAGTTCTGGAGGGGAAGCACCCTGCACCTGCAGTACTGACCTGTGACCATAGCCAGGGCAGCAATGCAGGAGAAGGCAGAAATGTCGATGTTCATATTCTGCAAGTTGGAGGAGAATTCAACAATGGAATCAATCCATTCCCCAAAGCCACGAACGCATTGCAACCTGTGCAAGACCACCCCATTGCAAAAGATGAGTTTACCCTCCACTGGGTTGGACCTGCAATTAATACCAAAGAGAGAGAGGGGAGAAAAAGAGAGAGAGAAAAGCTAAACAACTAATTACTTGAAGAGCAATAAATGAGGGATTTAAGAGGCACCTAATTACTGAAGAGTTAATAAAATGTAGACCAGTGGACCTGAAAGGGTTTAATTTCATAACAATCAAGAACGCCCCCTATCCCACCTCCATTCCATTCATCCAAGGCTTCTGGGCTTGCTCCTTCCCTTGTCTTTTTTTGTTTTCTTTCTTTTTCTTCCTTTCTCCGACTTTCATTTCCTATTCTTTTTCTCTACCCCACCCTCTGGTTTCCCTTCATCCCTTTCTTTTCCTTTCTTGATTTCTCTCACAGCCTCCCTGGATTGTCTCCTCCCTCCCTCATTACCTGTATGCTAATCGAAGGACAAACAGTTCTAAGAAAGCTGATTCAAAAAGCAGGTCCTGGTCGGCTTTGGGCAGGTCTGCGAAGCCAGGGATCTTCTCCGCCCAGCCCCGGATGATCTCCATGGAGCCAGTCAGGAGATCATAGAATTGCTGGATATGCTGGGTGTCATCTCCACTCATCTGATAGTCAGGGTTCGCCTGGAACTGGAATTTCATTTTAAAAAGCACTTAATGAGGTTCTCTAAAATATATAACCCGTGAAATTGCTAACCCCGTTTCTAGTAGGGGAGCCAGGTTTTTATAACAATTAAACCTCTCTCTGACCAGTAAGGAAATTAGATGTTCCGGGGCAATTAATTCAATTAGGGATGGTGCTACGAGGTCGCTGCTTTAAATATGTAAATTACCATTTCCATACAGACTAAATACAGTGCCATCCAGCCCTGGGAAACGTTCACTCTTATCTCCACAAAACAATTGACACGTTAGTATTCATGCTAGTCCCAGAGTGGGCCTCGAGCTGAGACATCCTTTTTCAAATCTTAATAAAATTGCAGTCGCTACCACGTTTGCTCAACATACTTCCTCCAATTAAAGCCCGCATATTTTTCACAGCTGGAGTAAAAAGGATCTGACCACTTGATCCCCCACCTCACTGCCATTCTTCACACCCTCTCCTTCCCTTCCCTGACCCCCAGACAGGCCCTACATCCTTCCCCAGCACAGTGCCAGGAAGGATGAGGATTAAAGCATCTACCTCTATGGAGGACTGGGAATAAAGTAGATCGGGGAGGGGGGAGTTCGTACAGCCCCTGGATTTCATGATAGAGGCACTGGGGTATATGGAAGAGGAGGGGCGGAGGGGTAGTGGGGTAGTGGGAATTCACACAGCTTCAAACCCTGTGGCATGTCCCTCTTCTCCTTCCTCTGCCCTGTTCTCATGTCTATGACCCCAAGCTACAATCCCTGGCCAGAGCTGTGAGGCATATAGTCTTGCTTGCCTTCTTTACCCCATTGAATCTGAGGGTTAATGGTGGATGTGGGGAGGGGTCCTGCCCATCTGTCGGTTTATCCACATGATTTCCCCCCACCAGCTTCTTACCCTGGAATAGTCCAGGCTGGTCATAGCCGGGTTGGAGTCGACATGGGCCCTGACGAGGGCACTGATCAGACTCACCGGGGGCGAAGGGGGAGAGGGCTCCTGTGGGCTCTTCGGTTTCGAGGGCAAACGACCTCTCCGGCCTTTTAAACTGTCTGTGCGAACCACTGCAAAGGAAGAGCCCTGTTAGCGCCACTTTTCCGAGCCCAGGCCCAGCTGCTGCCTCGGTCCCTCCCGGGGGAAGGCCGCAGCCGCGGGGCACCAGGCTGAGCGGCTCAGGGCCCCACTGCTTGTAAAGCCTTTACTGACGAGAAGCATTAAAAAATGCGGGGTTATTTTATATCTTCCTCCAAATGGGTCGTATAGTTTAAGGAGAGAAGGGCCTGGCGGCTTTCTCTAGGGGAAGCCGGGCAAGCAGGCAGCTGCGGGGTCCTGAAGGCCAGACTGTGGGGGAACCGGAGATCCCCAGCACCGGGAAGTGGAACGTGATGCTAGAGTATGAGCAGTGGTTTCCTAAGGGCGCAAACTGGAGGGTCGGCAGCTCCCCGCTACCTACCTTCTTTGACCATCCCAACAGCCAGGCACTTCTGAAATCGGCAGTACTGACAGCGATTCCGGCGACGCTTGTCCACTGGGCAGTTTTTATTTGCTAAACACACATATTTTGCATTTTTTTGCACTGTGCGCTGCAAAAGGAGACAATATAGACCAAAAAAATTTTTTCTTCTTTTGAAAATCAGGCAACTCGGAGAAAATTTCCGATATGTGGCTGGGGTTTACGATTCCTCCCCACAAACAAACACATACACACAATTCCATTTTATTTTTTTCTCTTCCTTTTCTTTCTTTCTTTTCTTTTTCCTCCCCCAGGGCATTTAACAGAAGAAAATTGATAGCGTTAACATTTGAGCTAACCTTGCCGCTCCTTGCTGTGTTTTATATGCCAAGAGAAGGAGAAGGAGACGCTCAGTAAATACAAATCCGTGGGCATTCATATTATTTACATTCCTTGGAGACCTTCTCTATTTAAAATGATAAGATTATTCAATCAGGATGGCGAAATAAAGAGATCACTTAATTTGACCATAGGGAATTCTGTTCCACTTGGTTAGCTCAGACACGGTTCTCTGTCCTAACCAATTTCATTCTGAACAGGGAAGACAGCTCCTAGCACATGCAAATGACCCTCTTCCAACTCCGGCTCCAGCAACTTCGGGCGGGGGCCAGCCGGGTCGGCTGAGTGCGAGGGGGATGCGACCCTGGCCTCCCAGTCTTTCTGCTTCCCTTTCTCAGACACCCGGAAGTCCCCGCCGCAGCCCGTGGACTCCTGCAGGGTAGCTTCGGTGGACCCCGGAGAGCCGGGCAGTCCCAGGAGGCACACTCCAGGGTCCCGGGCACTAGGGGCTCCCTACCTGCCTACTCCGCTCAAGCCACTGCTCACCTTAAAAAAGCCTTTGCAGCCCTCACAGGTGCGCACGCCGTAGTGTTGGCAGGCCGCGTTGTCCCCACACACAGCGCACAGCCCCTCGTTGGAGGGGGAGCCCCGCGACGGCGGCGAGGGCACCTGCGTGTCAAGCAGCTGCGACGCGTGGCCGATCTGCAGGCCCGGGAAGCCCATGGACGCGGGCTTGCGAATGGGGTTGGGTACAGCAAAGGTCTGCCCGTCCACCACGTGGTGGCTGCTGGCGGGCTCCGGGTTCATGGGGACGTGCAGGGGCCCGTCGAAGCGCATCTGGCAACTAGACACCGGGGTGCCAGGGGGCGATTGCTTAAAGGAGAAGAGGGAGAGGCGGGAAACTGGAGTTTTCCTCTGCTCGATCATGTGCGTAGTGGCCACGTAGTTCTGGTGGAAGTTGTGGAGAGACCCCGGGTCGTCCCACATGGGGCTGTGCTGCACCTGGAAGCCCGGGGTGGTGGGCGTCGGGGGCGAGGAGGGCTTGTAGTAAACCGAACCGGAGTGCGGCATCATCTCCTCAGACTGGGGGGGCAGGTGGCTGTGTTGCTGGTAGTTGTGCATCTGAATGTCTTCTACCTTAATGGAGGACTGCTGTCCGGACAGGGGCATTTGGTACAAGCAAGGTGGCTTGACGTCGTAGCCTGTGCTGTAGTTGTCCATAAAGGTACTGAAGCTGGGGAGAGAAGTGGTGGCAGTGATTTCAGTGTTGGTGAGGTCCATGCTAAACTTGACAAACTCTGGAGTTAAGAAATCGGAGCTGTATTCTCCCGAAGAGTGGTAACTGTAGCTCTGAGAAGCGGGGCTGGCTCCTTGAGGCGAGGACCCATACTGCGCCTGAACACAAGGCATGGCTGGAAATGAAACAGGGTGATACACACTCAGCCTGGTCAACTGAACACTTCCTCCCGGGCTCGGGTACACCTGGAGCTACACCGGCAGCCCGCGGCAGTCAGAGAGCGTGTAGGGGCGCGAGAGGAAGGGCAGGAGAGGGAGAATGCTGCCGAACAACAGTGTAGGGTGTGGAAAGACTGACCAAATAAAGACCCAGAGCTAAAAAGCTACTGAGGGTCCACATTCCTAGGTATTTCCAAACATCTCCTCCATACCACCCCCCACACCTTTTTACAGTCAATCCCACTCAGATAAGCCTCTTCTCTGAAGCTCAGATTCAGCAGTCTCTTTCTAGAAATGACCATCTAGAAATGAAGTTGAATTTCACAATGAGAAAGTTGTTCCCCAAGGCGATGGGTCGGGCAAATCTTAAGTTACAGGGTTTGCCAAGAAGATCGCCTTGTCCTGTTTCTTGATGTTTGGGGAACTCCGGAGAGTAAAGGAAATAAATGAAGTTGCACTAACCTTCAGCCGAGTTACAGGCGTTTTCGAGGAAATTAAAGGTGGACAGTGTCGTAATTCAATGAAGGACAAAGTTTCCAAGATTTTTAGAAAAGCAATGGGGAGTCCAGCCTGTCCAATCTCCTCCCTGAAATACAGACACAGGAAGCTTCAGGGTATCTTCCTGACAGAGATTCAACTGGGCATATGTAGACTCACCAGGCAGGCCCTTCCATGCCTTCCCTGTTCATCTCATTGGAAGTGAGTGGGAAGCCTTTACCAAACACAGCACTTAAAATGAATGTATAAAAGAAATGACTTGAAACAACAGAAAATACTACCCATTGCACTGTGTAAATCCTTGCAGAGAGAGGATCCTGCAAGAGGAAAGTTAGTCCATGAACTCATTTAACATTTATGATGTAATGAACTGGCCCCTTTGCTACAGTGTAGGTGGAGAGGTCATTTCCATCTTAGGTTAATTCAGGACCTGAGTATGAAGACTAGAGTCTGAAAATACAGCATTGGAACCTTCTCTTGCATTTTTTTTTTCATGTGGTGAAATTGCCTTTTCTTTTGGTAGAGGGGAAGAAAGTAGAAGTCAAGAATATAAAATGAGAAAACAATCTTTCCCCTTATAAAATGTTAGAAAGACCTTGACTGAGAAGGCAATTTGAGTGGAAGCATCCGCATTTCTAAAGTGCTCTTGACAGAGCACTGGGATTGGAGCTGCAGACAAATTGATGTTCACTTTTCCAGAAAACTTGTCTTTCAGCATCTTTAATGGCCACAAGGTGGGAAGAGGGGACCCTACTTTTCCAGGAGTATCTTAGGTCAATTGCAGAGAGGGGACATACTGCTTATATGGTATTGGCACCAATATTAGAAGTGTTTCCCAGAACAGCAAGACGAACACCTTCCCCATAATGCCTTCCACGATCTGCCTTTCTGGAACAAGGCATTCTTGTGTCCTAGTAATTTTCAGATGTTCCCACTTAGAAGGCATTCTAGCGCACAGACAATCTTATTACTAATGAAAAAGAAAGCCAGTATCCTCTCTTTCTATTCTTTCCCCTCCCCCACAATCTTGCTTCATAGTGGTGGTGGGGGTGGGGGCGGGGGGTGATTACCCAGAAAAAGCAGAAAGGAGACTCGACTTCCACAGCCCTTAGAGATATTCCTGTGTTGGATATTAACTCCCTGGTAGCTCCACAGTTTCATAACTGTACTCTTTACATATTCATATTCTCTCTCTCTCTCTCTCTCTGTCTCTCTCTCTCTCGACACATTCGCAAACCCAAGGACAGCATATGTCAAAACCAGAAATTTCAGACAACTTAGTAACAGGACACTCTACCAACACCACCCTTACTCAACAATACCCGGGAAACATCGCGCGCTGGCCAGCCGCGGAGACACAGTTCCCAAGCAACGCATAAACTGAAGAACTTTCTCTCCCTGTCAGTTTGTGGGCAGCTTCCTTCGTATACACAGAACTTGGAGTCTCCGTCTTCACAGGCCACAATCAATTCCTCACTAACAGCAAACTTTGCTCACATTTCCGCGGGCTAGTCCTCAGCTCCCAAACTGTGGAGTCTCCCTTCCACGTCCACCAATGAGGAGCCTGGAAGCCTCTGTCGGGAGCCAACTCCCCACTAGTGCCAAAGCCGGAGTTCGAACAAATGCCCCCCGGTAACTACGCGCACGCACTCCCCATCCTTCGGTCCCACTCTCACTAGAAGCCTCTGGCTCCCACTTCCAAAGAACCTATCCCACACAAGTGGAAAGAAGAGACGTGCAAAAGAAGGAAGAAGCATAAAAGAAGGCGAACTGCAAGGGCTGCATCTACTCACTTAGGAGTTCTCCGCGTCTCTCTTCATTCATTCAACTCTGCCGAAGTGCAGTTCCCTCTGGGAGGCTGGGCGCCGGGGTCGGGGAGGGGTGGGCGAGCTGGGCGAAGGGAGCCCGGACACCTCACGCAGGGAGGGAGTAGGGACAGGCGGCCGGCTGGACAGGCAAAAGGGACCGCGGAGCTGTACGCGAGCCGCCGGGCGGACTGGCCCTGGCCGCCAATGTGCCTTTGTTTATGTGGCTCGCGCTGCCGCTGCCAACATGCACCTAAAGTCTCCGCGCGTCAGCGCGCGTCAGCGGCCCGCCGCCCAATCGCCGCGCCGCCGCGCTCCCTGGACTCCTGGCCCGCGCTCGCTTTGGTATATTTCCGACCTGACGTCACGAGCAGGGCAGATTTTAAGGTGGGAACCGCTCTGCGTTCACCTTGGTAGCCAGCTTGGGTGGTTTTTGGTGTTTTCTTTTCTTTTTTTTTTTTTTTCCGAAAGAGGTGTGACCTCTCCCAGGTCTGCGCAGCCCGCAGTGCCGCGACACTTCATTTTCCCCCAGGCCCCCGCGCCCTCGCAGCTGCTCGGCCGCTCACATGTGGGGAGGGTGCAACAAAAGCCCAGGCGGAAGGGAAGGCCGGCGTGGGCCAGGTAGCACGCACCTGGAGCTGCACGGAATGGGATGTGCCTTGCAGCGCCCTAACCTCTCCCACCCACCTTCGTCACCCCCTTAGCGGAAGAGCGTACAGATGTCCCATGACACGAGACGCTCAGAGGGCTCACGCAGTTCGGGTGGGATTTCCCTACCCGGTTCATCCCCTTTTACTCCCTTTTCCTGTCCTAGGCCGCCTCCTCTTCTGGCATATATTCATTCTCATTCTCTCTCTCTCTCCCTCTTCCCCCTACTCCCACACTCCCATCTGAAAGGGAATGGGAGTGGGGGTAGGGCTTATTTTTCTGTGTTTCCTTATTTCCACGCAGTGCCCACGTTCGATGGAGGACGTGGTGCGTGGGGTTGGGGGGGAGGAGAGGAAGGGGAGAGGGTAGACAGTGACCGTGACCCAGCTCTTTAGAAACCCCAAAAGTCAGAGTGAAGCGTCGCGCCTTTTCCTTTCGCAGACAATGCAGCCGAGCAGCAGGCAACAGGTGCGCCTTCTGCAGAAAGGTACTCTGATTCCCACCTTCTGCAAACTCTAATACTTTCGATACTCCTCGGTGCCCACCAACTTGTACCCCTTCCACGAGTTTTAGAGAAATAAATCGACCTTCGTTTGAAACACAAGGTCTATCACAGCCTCAATCTTAGAACCCAGAAAGACTGGACAAGAAAAGCGAAGCGGGTGGGGATTGGAGACAGCGTCTCCGCAAAGCGTAAGGTGTGAGCCTACAACCCAGCCAGGAGAGGGGCCCGGGCGGACTGTGGGAGCGTGTCCCACCCCCGCAGCCATCCGAGTCGCCGCCGATTCTGCTTTGCAATTCATTTCCCCTCGCCAGGCCGCGGGCGCAGGGAGCTTTCTAGCAAAGACAACGCCGCGGCTCCGGAGGGCAAGCTCCCTCCCCCAGTCTCCCGGCCGGAGCTGGGCGGGCTTCCTAGGGCTTCTCCCGCGGGGCTGGAAGAGGCTGGGCCTTGAGAGGGAGAGTTCGGAGCCGCCCCCGCTTTTCTACTCGCGCAGAGCGTCCCAGCCGCCCCTCCTTTCTCGGCGTGGCTGGCTTCCAGGCCGACGGGACCCTTTTGCAACTTGCCCCCCTACTCGTGTTCTCAGTACCGGCCGATGGCGCCGTGGAACTATTCGGGATCCCGGGCTGCTCAGCCCTAATCTGCAGCCCCGCCTTTGCCTACTCCCTGCTGCCCCCAGCTCGCCGGTGGCTGGGGAGGCGTTGCCAACAGATGTCCTGCGGCTGCCCCAGGAAGCCGCGGGCTCTTCTGCGCCGCAGCCTCCGGGAAACCTACGTGACCACCTTAAGTTTCCCCCAGATGTTGCGGCTGCCGCTACTGCTGCCGCCGCCGCCGCTGCTCGGCGGTGCCCTAGCAGGCGCAAGAAAAAAATAAAACCAGGAAGTGGGTGGGGGGGCGGGTTGTGGTGGCGGGTAAGGGTGTGTGAGTAGGGGGATGAGGAGGGGAGGGCGAAGAATAGCATATTAGCATGAGCTCGGTAGCGTCAGCGCCCCGTGGGCAGAAGCGATTCCATGCGAACGAAAGGGAAAAAGTGAGAGTTTGGAGAGCCGGGGAGAAGGAAGGGGGTGGGGGTGGCGGTGACGCAGGGGCGCAGGCATTGACGCACCGGCCAGGCTGGGCCCAAAATAGCAGCAACACCAGCTCAGAGGCGCCCTCCCGGGTTCCCTTCCCCTTCCGCGAGAGAGCAGGGCGCGGCCACGGGGAGCTTTCCTTGATCCCCGCGGTGGGCCAGGCTCCCGGCCGCTATTTTCAGGCAGTCGGAAACTCAAGCACAGGCACGCCGGGGTGGCAGTTATTATTTTTTAATATAGTCCTAGGAAAGCGGGGGCCGGGAGAACTTTCAGGTTGGTTATAACCACCAGCCTCCATACACACACTCCCGTCTAAGTAGATGCATTCACTCTGCACGCTTCCCCCTCCCTCATTGCCATAAAAAACATTCAGTTTAGGTTGGGTTGAGCCTGGGACAATTTGCAAATGCCGTCCCAGGGAACTGAAAAGTGTCCTGGAGTTCTTCAAGTGAGCGCCAAGGAAGCCAAACATTGTAATGTGATGCGTTATTGTTTAACAGCAACCTGTTAAAGGTGCGGCTTCCTGATAACAGCCTTTGTCCAAGTCTTAATGCCACCAAGAATGAAGGGTCGTTTTCACAGCAGCTTATTATAAGAATTATTATTAACTGGGAATGGAGTGATTATATATAAAATTAAAATGAGAGAAAGGGGAGACCTTTCTTATCTGTTCTATCATCTGTGTAAGAGTTCTCTCCTCTTCAAAGTCCTATTCTGGTTTCTGGGAAGCTTCTACTGTTTCTTAGGAAGACACGCCGGATGTAAGGCTGTTAAACTCGTTTAAACCAATTTTGAATAAGCTACTTCTTAGGCTGGGGTTTCTGTAGGGCCCGGATGAGCTGGGTTGGAAAGGATTCAGCATATAGATCAGAAAGTGTTTAAAAAAAAAGAAAGAAAGAAAGAAAGAAAAAGGCCACCCTCAAAACCCCAGACTACAGTTTTCCTCACCAGATTCTAATGGGACGATGTCTCAGTAGCACCGCCAATGTGTGTGTAATTGACTGATCCAGTCAGTAGGGGGCCTGACTCCACAACGTTCAAGAGAATAACACACAGACACACACACACAGACACACACAGACACACACACACACACACACACACACACACACACGCTATTTAAGCTAAACTAAAGAGAAGGCTGCAGGCCCAAATATTAATGTTGTGCTGGAATTCATAAATAACTAAAAATCTTTGATTCTCTTCTATTTTCTCCAAAAGGGAAACAGTTTTAACACATGGGATTAGGGTCACAAAAGATTTTCTTTATTTCCTCCTGCTCATGTTTAACTCACTGTTAGGTCACAGAAGGAAAAAATCAAACTGGTAATAAAATCTCTCATTTTATCACCAGCAAGTTCAAATGGCATACAGTTTGGAAAAATGAAACCATGTTTTAAAATCCTATGATTACATGTTTAAATAAATTATAGTTTAGAAGGAGATTCCTGTGGGTATATTTGCTAGTACATAAGAGAATGCTTTTGTGCCCAGAGATTTAATTACACATATGGAATCAAAATGTAGAATTGAACAACCTTTCAGAAAATGTTAAAACGATGCTTTAGGCTAAAAGAAACTGAAATTCTGCATTTATATGACTGCAACCCTTCAAGATTCTTGAACATAAATAGTTCAAGTAAAGTATTTTATAACTCAATTAAAATGACAATAATGGTTTTTTCAGGCCCCCGTAGCTGATATAACTTTAAACTATTGCCATGTATAAATGTGTAAAGTTACCCCACAATGAAGGTTATTTTCTTAACAATTTTTAAAATAAATGGGAGTAAAAATTGCTCCTATCTTCTTTTGAAACCAACTGAAATAAATTAAAAAGCATTACTATTAAGAAACACTATTGGATGACCACAGAAAACATTTAGGGAGGTAATGTTACTATATTACTTTTTATGATATTAACCAATATTAGGTAGAACATATTGGTACATGTAAACATATTTTCATTAAAAATCAACATAAATAATACATATACTCACATCTAAACCAAAGTATTTTATTTTATGCATGGCTAGGCAGATTATATTTAATAAAATTGAGCTTTTGGCATAATTTAGAAAGCAAACATGAATGTAATCCCATAGGATTTTCTATTTTAATGCATGGGAAAGAGGCCTTTAGGGATTTATTTCACCATTCTTCCCAAATGACTTCAGAATAGACCTTACAATGCAGATATAGTGAAACAGACATACCTGTTATGCTGTAAGAGTGGAGGCAACTATAAGATTTTTCGTAATAAAATTACTTAGTAGAACCTATTTTTAGCATTAAAAGACATATTTTAAATTACATTTGTACAAACTCATTCACAGCATTCGTTGCCATTGGGCACTAAGTCACATTACTGATAGAAGAAATACATTTTCACTTTGAAAAAAATCTGTTTCTGAAAATACAAATTAAGTTTTTACTTCCGAAAGTTTTTTTATTGTTTTGCTTTTGCCATTTCATTTGCATTGACAGGATATTAATTGACCAAATTGTTTGTTCCTTTCTCATAGGATGGTTAAAGAATAAATCTATTGCTTTGTTAATATTCACATTTTGGGTAGTTGTAGCTTTTATTCAGTATTTCTCAGCCGATTTTTACCAAAAACCACTTAACACAAATACTTTTAAAATTATTTCTTACTTTGATACAGAACTCAGTACAAGAAATGTGTAAAGATGTGCAGAAAAAAAAACCAGCATTCTTTTTTCTAGAAGCATCTTCTTGTAAATTAAAATTATGAAACTGAACATATGGTAAAACCTCATGCCACTCAAACAGTATTTTGCATAATAAAAATCCTTCATTTTTTTGTTAATACTTGACACACAGTTACCATCTCCTAAATACTTGCTTTAAAATTAACCACTTAATATTTTCTTATTTAAGAAGTATTTTTTATTAGGCAAAGAAGAATAACTTTGGTTTTAGATTTCATTGCTAATTTTAGTAAACATGGGCATCACTAAAATGTACAAAGTCCTAACAGACAGTGTAAAGATTCTGAAAATAAGTTGCTACATGCTAAGAAAATATCAAATATCTGCAA